ATATTCGTCTCTGGAGCTTTCAGAGCATGCAAGACGGCCCGCGAGGCCTCCAAGATCGCCCCAAGACGGCCCCAGAGGCTCCCTGCAGGGCTCCAAGACGGCCCAAGAGAGCCCCAAGACCCCAAGAGGCCCAAGAACCGAATAATTGCTTCCAGGAGGCCCCCGAGTGACCTGCCATGAGATCCGAAGGAACTGCCCAGCTCCAGACGATTCCAGGACATCGGAAGCGCGCTCCAGAGCCTCACAAGAAGACTCCAAAACGACCCGGGATGGCCTGACCAAGAGGCCGCCAAGATGGTCCAAGCTGGCCCGAAGATGGGCCCAAGGGTCCCCAAGACGCTTCCACGACGCCCCCAAGCGTTTCCCAGAGGTCCAGAAGATGCCCCCAGAGGCTTCCCAAATGGCCTTGAGAGCTGCAAATGTTTCAACATCTTGCGGAAAACCGCAAAATAATGAAGAACTCGCTTGTTCATTGTCGATGGGCTTCGGGGGCCTGTGGATGGCACCATCATCCGGAAGGGTCCCACGAGGAGCCCCAGACGCGCCCCGACAGAGGCCCGAGAAGGGGACCGTGAAAGAAGAACCCCACATCTTCACTCCAAGAGCCCCCCAGGTGGCCCCAAGAGGCCCCCAAGACGTCCAAAATTATTCCGACGGTAAGACCCCACATGAGAATATGTTTAGCTTACCCTTAGCCCTTTCCCCGTCGCCCTGGCGGACATCCTCCTCTCGCCCTGAGCTCTGCTCTCTCCTCTTCTTCCTTTTTATATATATCCTCCTCCTCCTCCTCCTCCTTCTCCTTCGTGGCGGAGGGGGCAGTGGACGGAGCTCCCGCTGGGGCGCTGGGGACGCGGGGGGGCTCGGAGCAGAGAGCCACGGCGCGGGGGTCCCACTCTGGCGCTGGGGACGCGGGGGTGGGGGGTGCGACGCGGAATAAAGCGTTCGTGGCGGAGGGGGCAGTGGGCGGGGCTCCCGCTGGGGCGCTGGGGACGCGGGGAGCTCGGGGCAGAGAGCCACGGCGCGGGGGTCCCACTCTGGCGCTGGGGACGCGCGTGTGTGTGTGTGTGTGTGTGTATATGTGTGTGTGTGTGTGTGTGTGTGTGTGTGTGTGTGTGTGTGTGTGTGTGTTTGAGTGTGCGACGCGGAATTAAAGTGGTCGGAGCTCTAGACACCCTGTGCAAGATAATGGCGTGGAAACTCTGTGCAAGAGAACTCGCCACGCCTCCTCCTGCTCGTCCTCCCCTTCCTCCTCTGCCGAGGCTGTCCCCCAGAAGGCCCAGTACCTCCGCGCGCCAAGGGCGGCCCTTGCCCGGGGAACCTCTCCTTGGGCATCTTGGGGTTCGTGGGTTTGCGCGAGGTCCAGTGACAATGGCTACTCGGTCGGCTAGAACCTAAACCCGCGCGAAGCGCGCGCGATTCTAGTTCTGGCGCATGTGTTCTCTGCACTTGCGGATTCATGGTGTTCAGAAACGCGTCCCTCATCTTGCTCCCTCCCCTATTATCTTTCCTGGCCAGCGCTTCCTCTTCGGACCGCTCTTCGAGGCCGACCTGCGACTTTGCGTGGGCGGATGCCCAGGCCTTGATGTTGGGCTTGTGAGCGGCGTGGTTCCACGCCATTCATAAAACAGTTGATTTTGCTAGGGTAGACTGGCCTTGCGCGGAAGGATCTTGTTGCATGCCGCTCGAGGGTGTTGGGTGCACTTGATTCTGACACAGTGGCAGTCTGATACCAGCAACTTCCTTTTCGCTCCACCCTCACTCTGTCCCTGTGTCTGCCTCCTTCCGCTCTCTCCAACTCGCCCCATCCCACCCCGTGCCTGAATGGTTTGGTTGCCTACGCGCGATGCGCGAGCTCGAGCCGGTTTTGCATTCCATTTTGGAGGAGGGGGGCGGGGAACAGGACAAAGAGGAGGAGCAGCAAGTGGTGAAATCTCCATTGCCGGCAGTGTCCTGCACCCTTTCTACCGTTGCCTAGTGGCACGCATCAGCAAGTTCCACTGATTGATGCGTCGGGTTTTCGCACGCGCAAGTTGTACATATGTGTTGCTTTATTCTTTGTCCAGGTGATGTGATATTTCGCCTCGCGCTCCGTTGACATCGCCTTCAAAGGGTGATGGCTGGCACTGACGGTCGCGATCTTTCTGTTGAGTGAGTCCCCGAAAACGTTTTTCGTTTGTCCCATCGATCGGCGATCCAGTGCCGCCCCTACCATCATCAGGAGACCACGGACAATGAGAAGGGATGGTGCCAGAAGACGGAGAGGAGGATATGAAGATTCATCAACGATGTTGGAATAACCGTTCCGTCACAGCTCCTTCATAGGCCCCTATACGGATTCCTCTCCACTGAAGGAAGTGCCCCGTTGGGAGGCATTCCTTTGAAGATCCTGAAGCGTGCCAAACACCATTCTCGGAACTTCAACGCCACGAATCAACCTGATTGTTGCGTTTTTGCGGTCCTGAATCGTGCCATGCTTTGGACTTCGACGCCGCGACTCAATGTAACTGTTGCGCCCTGACAATCCTGAATCGCTCTCAAACACCATATCTGGTGCGTTAAGAATGGGAACCCGTGATACTCTTGCAATTTATTTAGCGAACGTGGGTGGCGCTAGGGCCAGAGCTACATTTTGAAAAGGAACCGCCCTCCATGAGTGAAGCTCTTGCAAAGTTTTGAAGTCAATGTACGGTAGGTTTGCGTCGTGTCGACCAGCGGCGACCCCAGCGCGGGCGTTCAAGGTTGAACGCCGCCGGCGACCCAGAATCGATGGATGTTGAACGATCGGACGTTGCGGCAGCGGCCGATCGTTCAAGGTTGAACGATCCCTGCGGTGTCAAAAACCAACGCCGGGGTCGACACGACACGAACCTGCCGTACGTGGCGGTAAAGGGGAGAGCCACATCTTGGAAGCGCTGCCCGTTCTCAATCCGTGAGGCCCTCGCATCTTTTAAGATGTGCGCGGCAGAGAGGCGAGAACCACTGAAAAAAACACCCGCCCGCAGTCCGTGAGGTTGGAAGCAGCCCGCCCTCTATGTGTGAAATTGTCACCACCCAGCAACCCACCCCCTCCTCCTCCTCCTCCTCCTGCTCCTCCTCCTCCTCCTCCTCCTCCTGCTCCTCCTCCAACCCAGCCCGAAGGCCTCGATTTGCCCTCCATTTCCAGTGGCGGGGGGGGTCGGGGAACGTTGAAAAAACACATGGAATCCGTACCCCCCCCCAACCCGAAATTCGGGTCAAATTCGGGTCTTCGGTTGGGTTGGGGTGGTCTGGTAGGTAGTCAAATTGTTGCCAATTTGTAGGCGTCACGATCATACATGGTGAGGAAGTCTCGGGCGAAGCGCCAGGCCCGCCCTCGCGACCAGCCTCGGGGTATGACAGGGAGGAGTGATTCACAAGGAGAGGAGTTCGCCGCCACGGTGCGGGAAATCGGGCGGGCTCAGGACTGGGGTACAGTAAGTTCATGCGGAGATGGCGCGCTGGCGACGCCAGCGAAAGCATTCAGGGTTGAATGCCGCGTGATAGAACGACACGGAAGTACCGAGGGACACGGTAATGCCACAGGACCCGGCGGAATATAGCTTTGAACGAGCGGAGCCGCGATCGGTTAACGATCGACGCGGTGTCAACAACCTTTGCGAGTGCCAAATCCACACGAACCCACCGCAAATTGTTCCAGGGCCCGACGAAGAAACAATTCCATCAACATACGTAACCACAATTTCACAGGCTCGCCTTGCTTCGCCTTAAACATCGTGATTGCACGGCGCCAGAGTGGCCCGCCGCGATCAGTACCCGCCAGTACGCGATACGCTTCAGCGATGTGGTCCATGGGTCACGCGAGGCTGACAGGCCCCATGGGTCCTACCTGGTCAGAGGGCTCAGATGCTTTTCCGTCGCCGTTGGGGATCAGAGACTCGGAGCCTTAATTTGGAAGAGGGGTAATTCAGCCAGCGCGGCTCGGTTTCCTCGAGCTGTTGAGCTCATTAGGGTTCTAGGGCGTAGGGGTCTCGGCCAAACAGAAGTCACGGACTCTTCGGGCCCATAGCTGGCGGGCTCATCGAGCTTATGAGACTCATGGGGATCAAAGGGATCTTTGTGCCCACCGTGCTCACAAGGCTCACAGGGTTAATAACGGGCCGTGGGGGTCATAGGACTCATACGGCCCATAGGGCTCATACGGCTCGTAGGGTTGCGGAGGCTCCTTGGGGCCATGCGGCGCGTGGGTCCCGTGGGGTCGATCGAGCTCAAAAGGCTGGCAGGGCTCATGAGGCTCAGAGGCGACATAGGGCTTACAGGGCGCACTGGGCTTGTAGGGCTCATGGGGCTTGTCGGGATCACATGGCTCAGAGAGCTCATCAGATCGTAGGCTCACAGGCGACATATGGCTCACAGGGCCCAGGGAGCTCATAAGGCTCATAGGGCCCATCGGGATCATACCGCTCGCACGGCTCATAGGGGCCCTGGGGCTTATGGAGTTCGGAAATGCCATAGGGCGCATATGGGCTCATAGGGCTCATAGGGGCCATAGAGCTCATGGGGCTTATAGTGGCCATTGGGGCGAGGGGCTCCGTGTTCCTTAATTGTTTCACAGTTTGCCCCACGTTTTCCTTAGGTTTTCAAGGGGAAGTCGAAGTTCAACTTCTGGAGAAAAGGGGCCTCGTTCGTTATTTAGGGTTCCTTAGGTCCGCGCCCCGACTGTAGGAGCGGCGCGAAGACGCGTGCGCGTCCAATTAATTCGCACGGGTCTCGACACGCGAGGGTTCGTGGCAAGAGGGCGGCCTCGCGAGCTGAGGGGGCACTTTCATGTTCGTGGCTGGGCGCGCACTTTTTTGGGGGTCTGCCCTCGCGCCGTAAAGAATCACGGCGGACGGATTTCTGCAAGTTTCGGACTTTGGCTGCCTCCGTTTTTTTTGGTGTGTGTGCGTGTGTGTTTTTGTTTGCTGTTTTTTCCTTTTCACGACGTGAGGGGGTCCGGGGTCGCTATTCCTTCCTCCGATCAGGGGAAGGCGTCCCACGGCGACGTGGAGGTGTCCGTCCAGCGCCACGTGGAACGCCGGGTGGGCGCCGCCCTGTCGGAGCAGCAGTTGCTGACGCAGGAGGAGGCGATGAGCATCCTCGAGGTGGCCTCCTCCTCGCAATCCGGCTATCTTCTGCCTCTCTTCTCGTCCTGCGCTCCTTGAGACAGTATGTTCTATCTACTGGTGATAACGGGCGGCACCGCCAGGGTGTGTGTGTGTGGGAAAGAGGCCAGTAACGTCATGATTCGCGCCCGCGCCGACGCCGTCTGGGAACGCATTGACCTTGCTATTTCGCAGACGGCGCCGGCGCGAATCGTGAGGTTACAGGCGGGGGGGGGGTGCGGGGCCAGAAACCGGAGTTACCGTGAATGATAAAACATGGGCTTCCCCCCTTCCTCAGGGCGGCCTAACCGACCCCTAGGAAACCATCCCCTTCCGTGACGTGCCCCTCGCGTCGTCCCAGGGCGTATGTGTGCGGCTGGAGGGAAGTTTGAAAGGCGAGGGCGACGTCACGAAAGGGGATGGTTTGCTAGGGGTCGCTTCCGCGCCCATTTCCCTGCCTTTCTGCCTCCTCGCGAGCGTCTTCTTCTCATCCATCGCCTTCTGCGAGCTTTTTCTGCCTTTCTGCCTCCTCGCGAGCCTTTCCCTTGCGAGGATCCTCGCCGGCGTCTTCTTCTCATCCAGCAGGAGCGGGGCGGGACGGTCTGGCGACAGGATGTGTGCCCCGCTTGCCGACTCTCCCCGTGTTTCGAGTTCGGTGGTGGCATCCTTCTTCACGCTCAGGGGAGCGAGCAGTGACGTAAACGTAAAAAGTCGGAGATCCGTGCGGACCTCCGAGATCTGATGTTTACGTGATTGGTTCGTTCCCCTATGTCGCTGTCGTCATTGTGGTCGTGGCGAAGACAACTCTTCGAGGCGGCAGTGCGAGCACCGCGTCGAGGAGCTCGCGCGGAGGCTGCGGCGCGGCGGCGGCGGCGGACGACGCGAGGGGCGAGCTGCGCATGGTGGCGTCCACGAAGCTGGAGCCCCCGCTTAGCGCCAGAACGCTTCCGCGTCCAGCGTTTTAAGTCGGGCTTGTCCCTCGACAGGAGGCATATGCAAACATAGCAAAACATAGTCTGGGGACGTTTTTTTTTTTTTTTGTTGTTGTTTTTTTGTTGTTTTTTGTTTTTTTTTGTTTTTTTGTTTTTTTGTCTCCCCCCTGTTTTTTTGGTCAAGTTTCCATTTTTTCGCCCACAGTTCCCCTGTAGGAGGACATGCCCGATGCAACGCTTCCATATCCGGCGCCTCGGAATCGTGGCCTTGGATGTGGAAGGGTGATGGATCTGGGTACCTGCCTGCCCGCGGGGGCGGGCAGATCTCCATCATCCGCCGCTCCCCGAGTCACTGGCACAGGACCCGGCGGCGGCGGATGTGGGCCTGTGTTGGTGGTGTGCTCCAGGGACGCCAGCTGTGCCGCCTGCACCGGCCCAGACCTCCCCGCGCCGTGGCGACAAAACCGTCACGGAGGGGTTTGGGCCGCTGCTGGCCTCCGGGGGCGCCCTCCGCGTGGGGAACCTGCGGGGTCCCCCGGACCGTCCGAACACGGCTCGGGAGGAAACGCCCGCCTTGGGGGGAGGAGGAGGAGGAGGAGGAGGAGGAGGAGGAGGAGGAGGAGGAGGAGGAGGAGGAGGAGGAGGAGGAGGAGGAGGAGGAGGGAGAGGAGGAGGAGGAGGAGGAGGAGGAGGAGGAGGAGGAGGAGAGGAGGAGGAGGAGGAGGAGGAGGAGGGGAGGAGGAGGGGAGGAGGAGGAGGAGGAGGAGGAGAGGAGGAGGAGGAGGGAGGGGAGGGGAGGAGGGAGGAGGAGGAGGAGGAGGAGGAGGGGGAGGAGGAGGAGGAGGAGGAGGAGGAGGAGGAGGAGGGGGAGGAGGAGGACCGCCAATCGCTCATCCCTCGCCAGCAGGGGCCCGCCGGCCCACCCCGACGAAGGGCTTTGGGCCGCTGCCGGGCTCTGGGGCCCCCGCTCGGCTGCGGAGCCGCAACAAGGACGACTCAGGATAAACGGCCGGCGGAGGAGGAGGAGGAGGAGGAGGAGGAGGAGGAGGAGGAGGAGGAGGAGGAGGAGGAGGAGGAGGAGGAGGAGGAGGAGGAGGAGGAGGAGGAGGAGGAGGAGATGAGGAGGATGAGGAGGATGAGGAGGAGGATGAGGAGGAGGAGGAGGAGGAGGAGGAGGAGGGAAAGGGCCGGGACCTCTGGGGGGCGACGTTCAGGCGCAAGGCAAGCGAGCGGGATACGCTCGGGGGGGGGGTACATCGACCCCCAGTTGCCCCTTCCTCGCCCGCAGGGGCCCAATGGCCCACTCCGCCCGGGAACAGGGCGGTTTCGCTGCCGAGAGCCTGTCGGCGATCTACTGGTGTCGCCGATTCCAGGTCGATGTTTCCCCCCCTCGCCCCCCCCCTTGAGCTGGACCCTCCCCTGATCCAGACCCCCGACGTCATGTTTTTGTTCGCGACGTGGGCCGCCAGAGGACTGGGCCCCTTTGGGGGCCCGCTTTTCATCCCGAGTTGTTTCGCGGCCGCTCCCCCAGAGGCCGAAAGCGGCGGGAAACCTCCAGTCGTGCTCTCTTCACGGAGGGGGTCTAGGGACGTTCCCCCTCACCCAGGGGCCGACGCTGCGAGCACATTAGAGCGTCAGGGCTCTGAGGTGATCGTTCTCTTATTTTCTTGGTTCTGCCGATCGCCGCGGGCCCTCCCCCATCCCCCCCCCCGTGGAGCAGATCTTGGCTACTCTTGGCGCCTGTCTCGAGCAGGTGGAGTCTCCCCCAACAGGACGCACTGCTGCAAGCAGCCGCGTTCAGCAGAGCTCCTGGAGCCAGCCCCCCCCCCTCCCCCTCCCCCTCCGCCCAGTGTCGAGACGCCGAGCAGGAAAACGTCTGCCAGGGCTCCCCCCTCCCCCGCTCAGTGTCGAAACGCCGCATGAGAAGACGCTTGCCAGGGCTCTCCGGGGCCCTGGCAAGCGTGCAATGCTCATGCGCCCCTGGAGGCCCACTGGATGGATGGCACGCACACAAGCACACAAGCACACACATGGAGGAGGAGGAGGAGGAGGAGGAGGAGGAGGAGGAGGAGGAGGAGGAGGAGGAGGAGGAGGAGGAGGAGGAGGAGGAGGAGGAGGAGGAGGCCGAGGCCCCCGCGCGCGCGCCTGTCTGGCGGTCGGGGAGAGGGCGCGCTCGCACTGGCCCCCTGTCCTTCAGTCGGGCCTGTCCCCCTACAAGGGGATTTTCGACGAAACATGAAAAAATGCAATAACAATAATCAAAACATAGTCCAAACATAGTCGGGGGACTATTTTTGGAGTACTTTTGACCTTTTTTGGGTATTTTTAGTTTTTTTCCGTCGAAAGCCCCCCCTGTAGGGGACACGCCCGCCTTACTCCTGTCCCCGGCTCTCTCGGGCGGCGCCGGGCCTGAGTGTCCTCGGCCTGCTGCTGGGCGTCGGCCTGTTCCCGGGGGGCAGGGAGGAGGCAGGCCCAGTGCCGCTGATCGGGCCGAGCGAGAGGGAGGGATAAGGGAAAGGGGGGGTCACGAACTCTGCTGCATGCAGCTGGTTTCGGCCCCGCCGCCGGGCCCATTCCTCGATACATGGGCGCCTCCCAGCGCCGGGAGGCGCTGGGAAAATCAGCTACGTGAGCTGATTCTCAGACCCCCCCTTTGCTATCCCCCCGTTTCGCCTGGCCCGAGCTGAGCTTCCGCACTCGGGGTCGCATGTCGAGCCCTCAGGAGCGATGCCTGCCTTGCCTTTTTCCGCCTCTGGAAGTATACCTGGCCCGTGCCAGTATGCCTCTCAGAACATCATTCTTCCTTATTTGCCCACCCCTAGTATTAAGTCGGGCGTGTCCCTCTACGGGAAGACTACTCAAAACTAGTCGAAACATAATATAGTATGGGGATGTTTTGTGTGGGGCTCTTTTGACCATTCTTGATTTTTCCTGGACCATGTTGTATGTTTCTACCAAACTCAACGTGTAGGGGGGCATGTCCGACCTCACAGTAGTCTGGCCCCATGAGTAGGCGAATGAGATTGGAGCCCAGCTGGAGCCGCGGGGCTCCACCTGGTGCGCCTCCAGCAGGACTTGGCCTCCTCTTGGGCGACGTCAGGGCCAGTTGGGGCGAGTCAAGCGGGGGCCGAGGCGCTCCATCGAGGCTCGCGGGGGGCAAGTGGTCGGGTACGTCCTTTTGCAGGAGGCACACTCAGACATAGTTTAATAATCGCCTGGGGACGATTGTTCTACCACTCTCGACCATTTTGGGATATCCCGCTTCTGTGTTGTCACGCGCGGGCCTGCCGCGGGCGCTCGCGCAGGCGCGCCGCGGGGATCGCGCCGGGGCGGGTCGCGGCGCGCCCTGGCGCCGTCTGCTTCGCAGGTTTCGTATTATTGCTTCGCGCCGCGCTCGCGGGGCGCTCGCCCGCGGCGCGGGCCCGTCGGCCGTTCTGCGGCTGGACCTACGCCTGGGCCGACAGGGGGTCGGTGCGGGTGCCTGGTCGGCGCGCGCGCCGCCGCCCCCGCGCGCGCTGCCGCCCGCGTGCGCGGGTGCTGCGCGGCGCGCGCGGGCGGGGGCGGGATCGACGCATTGCGGGCGGGGTCCTGGGGGATGGGGCCCCGAGGGCAGCGCGTTAGGTTTAAGTCGGGCCTGTCCCCCTACAGGGAGATATTCGACGAAAAATAAAACATACCCCAACCATAGTCAAAAAACTGTCCCCAAATAGTCGGGGGATATTTTTTTGAGCATTTTGTGGCCTTCTTGGGGGTATTTTGGGGGTCTTTTTGTTTTTCGTCGAAAATCTTCCTGTGGGGGGACACGCCCGACATAAATATGTGTGTGTGTGTCCACTTCGCTGTCCCTCCGGGACTTCGCCCCAGGCTCCTGTCCAAGGCGTATTTTTTCCTGTGCAAGCTCTTCGGCATCGCCTGTTCTCCGCACCCTCCGGCCGCCTGAGGCCCCGCCCGCCCGCGCCCTGTCCCCCCAGTTAGTGCTTCGCGCGCCCCGCCTAGCTCTTAACCGGAAGAGGCCCGCTCTCGACCCGCCGACCCCGAAAAAATGTTTCATGCGTGAGGGTGTTTTGCGTCGTGAGTTGTGGTCTTCCGCGGCCATCTGCGCTGATTGCTGCTCAGCACTGGTCGCCGACAGGCGCCGTCAGACGGTGACGGGCGCTCGCAGGCGCTGGTGGGCGGAAAAGGGCCTTAACAGGGGCATGGATGGAGACTCATCGACGATGCTCTTGTGGAGCCCATTTTAAAATCACTCTTACACAGAGCACGCACACAAAGTAGGCTAGGTTCGTGGCGTGTCGCCTTGGCGGCAGCCCCCCCACGGCGATTCCAGGTTGAACGCTGCCAGTGGCCCAGAAGCGTCCACTGTGGCACGATCTGGCGATCGAGAAGCCGCCGGATCGTTCAGGGTGGAACGATCCACGTGGTGTCAGAGGCCAGCGCGCATGCCGTCACGGCACGAACCCGCTGTGCCCTGTTTGAGAACCCTCCTCGGGGCCATGGTTCAGGGCCCCATCCCTGCACCGCTGGCAACAGAGGAGAGGTGGGGGTCTGGAGGGGAAGACTCTGCGGCGAGCCCGGGGGGAAGTCAGATGGGGCGGGCCTCCTCAGAAGACTGGGAAGTCCCCTGGCCTTCTGAGAAGTCTTCTCCAAGCTTCCCCGGAGGCACATGCAAACTTTTGAGAAGGCGCGAGGGCTTCTGAGCAGTCCATCCGCCTTCTGAGAAGGCCTTCTTCTCCTCCTCCCCCCCCCGCTCGCCGCCGATCTTCAGTCCTCCGCTGGAGAAGCTGCCGCGGGGGGGCCCCGCGCTGCCCACCGGAGGGGCGGGCCACGGCCGCACGGGCACTGGCCCACGTGGCGCCCGCTCCTGGCATCACTCCGGCTCATCTGGCGTGGTGGCCCCTCGAATCGGGCTCAGCAGACCTCCCAGCATCTTCGCATCGTCAGCCCGCGCGGGGCTCCTCGAGACAGAGTGTGGAGAAGCCAGAAGTGGAGAGGAGGGGGGGAGAGAGAGGACTCCTCCCGGCCCTCGCCATGAGGCTGCGCTCTCTCCCCTCCCCCCCTCTTTGTGAATTCGAGCTTCGCGCGCCCCGCTTAGCTTCGACCGGAAGATGTGCGCTCTCGACCCGCGAATCAAAAATGTGGAGAAGCCAGAAGGTACTGATACCGCTGCTCCCCGGACCCCTCCCAGGACGCCTGCTGACAGGATTTCGAGGCGAGTCCAGCCGTGGCGACGAGGGCCTCCCAGGACGCTCCACATGAGCCACGCGGCGCGTCCGCCGCAGCTCTCCAGTCATCCAGCGTTCCAAATCCCACCAGCCCTGTGGGCGTCGGTGGTTTAGGGAATTTCCTCTTCCACCCCTCCTTCACCTTCGGGGAGGGGTTTACCCCTCCCCCTCCCCCCTCCCCATGGACCTGGACAGGGGGTTTCGCGAGGTGTCGGAGCGTCCAAAACGGCCTCGGCGAGGAAGCCAACATCATTGGTTTAACAGGGTATTGGCCCCATTTTGGCCTCCTGAGGGGGGGGGGCCCTAATTAGTGCCCCCCCCCCCCTTCCTGTGATCGATCTTACCCAAGATGGCCCAAAGATGGCCCCCAAGGCTCCCAAGGGTGCTCCAAGAGGGCCCCAAGAGGTGGCCAGGAAGCCCCAAGAGGCCCCAGGATGCCCCCAAGAGGCTCCCAAGAGACCCCCAAGAGGCCCCAAGAGACCCCCCCAGAGGCACCCAAGATGCTCCAAGAGGCCTCGGCGAGAATGCCAAATCATTGATTTTACTAAGGTTTTAGCCGCATGTTGGCCTCTTTGGGGGGCACTGATTAAGATGACTCCAAGAGCGCCTGGGAGAGCCCAAGATGACCTCCAAGATGCCCCAAGACCGCTCCAAGACAGCTCCCAGTGGCCAAAGAGCTCCCCCAGGAGGCCCCGAAGAGGCCAAAACCTGAGGAAATTCTATGTGTTCGGCTTTCTCGCCTTTTCGCTTCTGATGGCCATCCGAGGCCTCAAGATTGCTCCAAAGATGGCCCAAGAGGGCTCCAAGAAAGGCTCCAGAGAGCCCCAAGACGGCCCCAAGAGCGCCTAAGAGCGCTCCAAGAGCGCCCCAAGAGCGCCCCAAGAGGCGATTGTTTGGGCTCCCGAGGGGCAACGCTAACTAATGCTCGCTTCTTGTTTGATCGATGTCCCCCAAGATGGCCCCAAGAGCGCTCCCAAGGCTCCCAAGAGCGCTTCAAGAGGACCCCAAGAGGCGCCCAGGAGGCCCCAACAGGCGCCCAAGAGGCCTCCAAGATGATCCCACGAGACCCCCAAGAGGCCCCAATAAGCTCTCCGAGGCACCCAAGACGCTCCAAGAGGCCTCCACTGGGGGACCCTTCCTGTGTGCTGCCCACTTCCCTGATCGAGGCAATTCCTCTGGGCATCGTTTCTGGATGGGCAGGTGGGGTTACGCGAAGCGTCTAGAATTTCTTTGCCGCGTGGAAGGTCTGAACAATTTCCCCAGGGCCAGTCCTGCATCCCGAGTAGCTGTTTGACGGTCCCGCGGCCCGTGGAGGGCCCCGGCAGGCCGAACGTGGCCCGAACCGGCCGCTGCAGTCTCTTCGGCGCTGGAGCGCCTCTGGCTGCGCCTCTGGCGCGCTCCGCGTGCCAGGGAGGGGGGTCCAGCGCCGACCCAGAACATCCGCGCGGACTTCATCTGCGCGGACTTCAGAGGTCATGCTCACATGTCAGTTTTTTTTGTTGTTGGGTTGTCTCTGCAGTCCACCCGCGCGGGAAGGACGGGCAGCCTCTTCCCAGGTGTGCACCCTTGCATCCCTGCCCCTTCGACCCCTCCCCGGCGACTTTCGCCGGCCAGCCTTCCGAGAAAAGCGTGAGCATGGCCCTCCGAGGCCCTGGCACCCTACAGAACCGCGCCTCCGGACAAGGCGGGCCGACTGTGCGCCGGCCCCCAGGAGAGGGGCGAGGTGGAGGCCCTCGTCGCGGGGGCCCTCGCCGACTGGGTGCGCGCGGCGAAGCGGGGCGAGGACGCCGTCCACAATGCCCTGCTGCGCGGCAGGGCCCCGCCAGGCCCCCCCGCGGGGCCGAAGGGCGTCGAGGGGCCCCCTGCCTCGGGGGCGAGGGAGGCAGGCCCCCCTCTCCGGGGCAACGATCGGTTCAGCGAAAGGGGGGGGACGGGCTCAGGGGGGGCAGGCTCCTCCTCGTCGTCCTCCTCCTCCTCCTCCTCCTCCTCCTCTTGCGCCTCCTCCTCCTCTTGAGCCTCGTCCTCCTCCCCCTCCCTCTTCCCCCTTCCCCCTCTTCTCCTCCTCCTCCTCCTCCTCCTCCTCCTATTCCTCCTCCTCCTCTTGAGCCTCCTGTTCTTCTTCCTCATCCTCCTTCTCCTCCTCCTTCGTAGCCATTTTGGCTCAAGCCACTTTGGCTCAAGGCGCCTGGTGGCCAGGCACCAAGGCCGGGAGCGGACGCGCTCCCCTGGCCCCGCGGGGCCGCTCTCCCTCGGCCCGCCGCGGCCGCGCCCTCCCCCCCTCCCAGCGCTATGCCGTCCGAAATCAGCGAGTCCTGGCCAGTATCGCTTTCCTCCACTCCTCCAGCCTCCCTTGGAGGGACGAGTACCCCCCCGGCGGCGCCTGGAGGTACGTCCACGGAGGGTATGAGGGACACAGAGAAGATCCTCGCAGCCATGCATGATATGATTGCTCCTCTGTCGTCGTCGGTCGCCAGCCTGTCCAGTCAGTTGAATCTCGGCGTGCAGGAGATAAACCAACAGATTTCTGGAATCCAGGGTCTGATGATCGCCGCTGAGAAGAACTTCCAGACATTACAGCACGCGCACACGGAACTGGCAAAACAGACGGCAGCCAATTTCGAGCAGATGCGTGCGATCCACGAACAGGCTCTCCTTCAGTGCATTCAGGACCGTGAGACCGCAGAGTTTGCCATCCGTGATGAACTCAAAGGAATGTTCCAGACGATGCGTATTTGGGTGGGGGGGGGGGGGGGGGGGGGGGAAAAACCGGTGATCTTTACACCTTTGAAAGTCGTTCGTGCTATATTGTTACAGGTGTATTTATTCCTAGAGGTGCCTTTGCGTTGTTTTTTTGGTATTTTAGTGGTAGATTTTTGTTCATATTTTTCAAGCTTTCGAGAGGTGTTATGTCAGCTATGGGCGCTATTTGATTTTATTTTTCTGTTTATAGGTTTGGTTCAATTTGCATTGCTTATGATAGTATTATTAGGGCTTTCAGGTTCATATTTCACCTTTGATTAATCCACGTTTTCACTTTTTTATCAGGGGACCCCGACACCTCGTGGGGAAGAAGAAAGGCAAGTCCGTCGGAAGGTCGACTCTGGGCTAGTGGGCAACCCCTCGCGTCTTGTGGTTCTTGGATCCCCACGGCCGCTGATGGAGAAAACGCTCCGTGAAGCTGTCCAGAGTATCCTCGCCCGCTGTGCTCCATCTTCGACCCAGGGTTCGATTCAGGTCAAGGCCTTCGATTGCAGTAAGAAGGTGTTCCTGGACTTTGGTTCCAACCTAGAGGCCTCCACGTTCCATGGAATGGCATCGTCCGTGGGCGCGTTCCCCTTCCCGAACCCCGAGGGCGGTCCCGACTTACAGCTACGGGTCCGACGCGATCTTCCCCCCTCTTCCAGGAAGCTGTTCTACTATCTCGGGAATATGCGACAGCATGTCTCCAGAATCTTCGGGGCGGACAAAGTGGGGTCGACGGGGCTAGGAGGTGCGGTGTATGTGATGAAGGACAACGGAGTCCCTGTGCAAGTGGTTAAGATTTCTATTGTTGATGATGGCCCCACCGCGGGCACCGTGCAGCGTGGCGTCGAGATCGATGGGTTGACGGAAGTGGGAGGGCAGCAGCATGCATAGTGTCTGCACGCCAGGTTCGCAGAGATCCGCCCCTTTCGGTGAGTATCGGAACAGTTCGACAGGTGAGTGTGCGGTGGGGAGAAGTCCAGTGGGTTCTGCTACTGAGTGCTCGTCCGCCCTCTCCGCCCAGTTTGATGTACACCACGCAAGCGACAGTGCTTTATCCTTCTCGCCGCCTGCTGGGGAAGCTGGTGGTGTCTACCGTCCTGCCCGTCCTCTGTCTCTCTGCAGTTGGAACACGCGCGCTCTTCGCTTCTCTTTCGTCTCGTTCATCTCGGTCACGTTCGCGCTTCCTTCGGGCTAAGCAGCTGCTCTCACAGTATCAGGTCATGTGTTTACAGGAGACGCACGGATCTGAAGCAGACTTGGTTATCCTTCGGGGCGAAAGGCGGACTGGGCATTTGTTTTGGGAGCTTTCTGGAGGATCGGAACGCGGGGGTGGTGGTGACCTTCCTGTCTTCGGATCTCTGTGACTGCTTCGACCCGATCGCTCCGATTACGGTCGTTCCTGGGCGGGTGTTACTCGTCCATGGTCGGGGACCTCGAGGCGACTTGGTAGTGGTCAATGTACATATGCCTAACACGTGCGATGACGTTCGTATCTATCATCAGTACTTACGCCTCGTCAATGCCGCCCTTCCTGCGGCAGCGCATCCTGGTTATCATTCTGGGGGGCTGGAACTTCTGTGCGATGGGGGGTGGTAGGTCTCTTGTCTCAGGGGAGATTGGGCCTGGGGACCGTTTGCAATGTGATGCTTTTCAGGGGCATTGTAGCCACTGGTGTGAATTATACCAACCAGACCCGACCCGAAGGGATATTGTGAATCGGGAACTGAGGGGGCTGGCCAGATTAGATCGGATGTACACGACCCTTCATGCAGGTATTCTCAATGAGATGACCGTTGTTGTCAACGCTGTCGGCACCCTCATGCATCCAGGGGCCTCCTCCGATCACATTCCCGTCGCTGCCACTGTTTCCCTCCCGACCCCGAAGGGTCGGTTCTCGGTTCCGAAATGGATCAGCCAGCATGCCGATTACCACAGGATGGTTTCCGAACAGCTAAGGGAGCTGACGCTCCCATCGGACCCTGCCCAGAAACTCGCGAGGGTGAAAGAGGTTTTTGGTACGGCAGCTGTGGAATTTAAGAAGGCCCTTAAGTGTCGACCAGCGGGCAACGATGCGGAGCGGCTCCACTTTGCGTTCCTGGCATGCCGTGGATGGAGGGGTCGGCAGTGGTATCTCTGTCTTCATGCCATTCGCTGCTACGCTTCTCTCCTGCCTTTCTTCGATGTCGACGGCGGGGTGTTCGCTGATCCTGATGGCCTCCACAGTTTGATACTAACCTTGAAGGGGCCTTGGTTTGATGCGGAATTGGGGGAGTTGGATCATAGTAACCAGGTGGAGGAGGTCAGGACCAAGAAGAGACGGAGGCTGGTGGCTCTTAGGCGTGGGTGGGATCTCATGAGGAGGAGGACTGGATTGCTAGGCGTTTTGGACGAGAGCGGGAACCCGTGCACCTCCCTAGAAGCGGCTTCTGCGGCACTGGTAGCCCATTGGAGTAAGGTCTTTGCACCGGCAGATTACGATCCGACTCATTGGGAAGAAATGCTGGCCCACGTTCAGACTATTGGCGACTGTACTACTGCCCCGCGGTGGAAACTTGACGCGGATGAATTTCGGGGCCGTGTCGGCCATAAATGTCATTCTGCTCCTGGCCCTGATGGGATCCCGTATGGGTGCTGGAAGGTCCCTGAGGCGACCGATGCTTTGTTCGAGGTTTACGAGGAGGTTTTCAACAGTGCAGGAGGTGCTCTCCCCCCTGAATGTCGGGTTAGTCGTATGGTGTTCCTCCCGAAGGGCAGCGACCCCCGTGATCGCAGCGACTTTGTCTCTCGTGCACCTGCCTCCACCCGCCCGCTCTCCCTGGCGAATGCGGATGCGAAGATGCTCTCCGATGCCTTCTGTTTGGGACTCAATGACGTCGCGCCTGAGACGGTGGATGTCTCCCAGCGTGGTGGGGTTCGAGGGCGTAGCATTCTAGGCAATGTCGTTGAAGTTGAAACATGGGGCCTTATCCAACACATGTGTGGGAGGGATAAAGCGGGGGTCTTGTTCGCCGATTTCAAGGCGGCGTCCCCTTCGATCCTGGCAGAGTGGATATTTCCCGTTTTGGTGGCCATGGGGGTTCCCAGCGAGACCGTGGGTTTCTTCAAAGCCTTGTGCGCCAACAATGCGGCCCTGGTCTGCTTTGAGGGCGCTGCCGAAATGGTTTTCCCTGTGGGGCGAGGTGTGCGGCAGGGGGGTCCTGCGTCAATGGCCCTCTTTGCTCTGGCCCTGGGCCCTGTGCTGCGCTGGATCCGGGTCCGCCGCGTCGAACGTGTAGGTGTCCAATTGGCGTGCGCTGATGACTGCTGCTTTGGATTATGCGACATTCTCATCGATATCATGCCCACCTTGCTGCTTCTCGACTTGCTCCCTTCCGCGATTGGTCTTTCGTTGAATGTGGGGAAATGCTACGTCCTGATCTGCGGGGCGCTGAATGGAGATGCCCTCGCTGCCCACATGACTCGGAAAGGCGGCCGTTTCGCCTCAGTCCGTTTAGCCACCCGAGTTTTGTACATCGGATTCTGGGTGGGCCCGTCGGCCCATGAGGTGGCCTGGGTGGAAACGATGAATAAGTTCTGGCAGCGAGTTCGTCTTCTTCGCTCTCTCTCGCTGGGCTTGGCGACCACCATCCGCCTGTTCCACTCTAATTGCCTCTCCGTCTTGCCGTATATCGGATTCAGCTGGTGAGGGTCACCCCAGGGGTTCGGCGTCAGTGTAGGGAAGCATTGCAGATACTCACAGCGGGACCTCGGCATGCATTGAACTACATTATGCTCACCCAGTTACGTGACCTTGGGATCTCACTTGAATTCGTGGACCTGGGACTGTATGATAAAGCTACGAAATTTCGGGTGGTAATGCGGTGCAAGGCATTAGATGATGCGCTTTATGAGATAGATGGCTTAGCTAGTGGCTTGACTGATGATGAATTTATTTCTGCCCGTATGTTTTCTGGGTGGTGGTGCCATTCGATGATGCGCACGACGAATGAGGATGCGGTGGACCTCGTGAACGCTCCCATTGATCGAACTGCCCGTCTTATCCATGCCAAGGTCTTCGTTGCCCGATTGCGTCTTCTGGCTC